CAAATTCGTCTGTTTTTCTTTAAGTTGTTTTCTGCTGCTCCAGAGAAGCGGACACGGAGCAATGGATCCAAACTACAAGAAAGAAGATTCCACCTAAACATTAGGAAGAACTTCCTGACAGTAAGAGCTGTTCGACAGTGGAATTTGCTGCCAAGGAGTGTGGTGGAGTCTCCTTCTTTGGAGGTCTTTAAGCAGAGGCTTGACAACCATATGTCAGGTGTGCTCTGATGGTGTTTCCTGCTTGGCAGGGGGTTGGACTCGATGGCCCTTGTGGTCTCTTCCAGCTCTATGATTCTATGATTCTAAGTTCAGCCATAGCAAGCGTCAACTTATATTCATCAAGTTGCTTCTGTAGGGCTGGGGCTCTCTTGCTCTTTCTCTCCAGTTGTGTTTCTTTACATTCAGCAACAACAACAGCTTTTTCCCTGGCCTCCTCCGCAGTTTGCCGTATCGAAATAGGTTCCTGTGTCAATTTCTGGGTAGTTTCTATATTAGTATTATTTATACTTTCTATATTTAAGTTAGTTTTAATAATTGAAACATCCACTTTCACATTTATCGTGTCCATTTTCCTGTGAAGCTGATTCAATGAATCATTTATCTTAAATAATGCAGCCACTAGAGCCTCTTCTGTCAACATTTCTCTTGGCTTTACATATACTGGTACAAAGGCTGCAACAAAAAAAAGCAGGGGGGCCTGATGGTGAAACTCTCTTGAATTGTTGCCAAGTCCTCCCAGACCTTAATGTTTTGTCAGCAGTTGACTGGTCTGTTTTTCCTCTTCCATTAACCATAACACTTAAAAGATTCAAGGTCAGTCCCAGAGTCTCACGGTTTTTAACTTGCAGCTGGAAATTTCCCTAACCCAACTCTTGTAAAGCAACTGGTTTCAAAGGCTTCCACCAGGGGGAAACAGTTTCTATTTGTAATAGTCAATAGTATCCTCTTTTAAACAATCCGAAAATTAGTTTCAAGTTAGTTTCAATTTTCAGTAACTGTTACTCCTTTTTAAAGCAGCCAGAAACAGTAGAAACAATGTATTTCTCTTGTTTAACTAGCTGTCAATGAACGTTCTAAACGCTGTCAATGAACATTCCAAGATACGTCAGTCCTACTAGCAGCCCGTTTCCAGGGTCAGAGCGGCGGTATTTTAGATCTCTTCGCTCTCTCCTGCAGGTATATTCAGGTATTTTCCATTTTTTTCTAGAGCCTTTGCTATGCTTTCCTTTGGGTTTTCCACCATTAGCACTATGTCATCTGCAAATGCCCTTATTTTATATATTTTCTCCCCTAAGGATGTTCCATTTATTTCTTGGTCTAGTCTGATTTCTTGATTTAGTATTTCTAAAACCAAAATGAATAATAGCGGTGAAAGCGGGCACCCTTGTCTGGTGCCCTTCTGTATTTTAAAATAATCAGTCATGTCATTATTTATTATTTATTGCTTCTTGTTGTTCATAGATTGCTTTTAACCCTCTTGTAATTTGGTCTCCCATGTCCATCTGGTCTAATGTTATTTTTAAAAATTTCCATTAAACTTTATCAAACGCCTTTTCCGCGTCCACAAATACAAAAGCTACCTTCTTATTCGGTTTCATGTCTAAATACCGTAGTTTTCGCTCCATAACACGCATTTTTTTCCTCCTAGAAAGTAAGGGGAAATGTCTGTGCGTGTTACGGAGCAAATGCTTCCCTCCTCCGTGGCTCGCTTTGAAACAGCAAAGCGGGAGAAGAGCCGCTGAATGGGGAGGAGAGAGGGACAAAGAGCCTGCTTCTTTAAAGGAGCAACACGGGAGAGGAGAGGAGCCTCTTACACGAGTGTAAGCGGCTCCTGTCCGGTTGGCTCCTTTAAAGCAAGCAGGCTCTCTGTATCTCTCTCCTCCCCACTCAGAGGCTCTTCTTCCACTTTGCTGGAAATAGCAGGAAAGATTTTCAGCTCGCTAAGGGGGGGGGAGAGAAGCAGAGCCTGCTTGCTTTAAAGGAGCAAAGCGGGAGAGGAGAGGAGCCTTCTCGCCTTATACCCCTCTTCTGCATTATTAGCAGCATCCTTCTCCACCAACCCCACGCATGTTCCTTCTCCCCTTAAACCCCTCTCCTGCATTAGCAGCATCCTTCACACACCCCATGCGTGTTCCTTCTCCCCTTAAACCCCTGTTCTGCATTATTAGCAGCATCCTTCTCCACATACCCCACGCGTGCTCCTTGTCCCTTGAGTGCTTTTCCTTCCCTCCCCACTTAAAACGTGGTTACAAAGCACAGATCCACATGGATCCTCAGGATTTTTGCACTGGGTCACCCCAAATTCACCATCAGATCACATAGCATGTCCATGGCTACACTTTGCACCAAAAAAATCACGCACCCACTGTTGCCTGGGGCCGCAGTGGTGCAAAAACGTGGTTACAAACATGGATCCACATGGATTCTCAGGATTTTTGCATTGGGCTACCCCAAGCTCACCGTCAGATCACATGTCTGTGGCCACAGCATGAACCACAAAAATCATACATCCACTGTTTCGTTTAGAATATTTTTTTTCTTGTTTTCCTCCTCTAAAAACTACGTGCGTGTTATGGTCGGGTGCGTGTTATCGAGCGAAAAATACGGCACTTGATCATATCGATCACTGTTCTTGTATCATCGCTCATTTTCCTGCCCGGCAAGAATCCTGCCTGCTCTTTCTTTATACAATCCTGCAAAACTGTCTTTAATCTTGTTTCCAATATTTGTGCATAAATCTTGTAGTCATTATTGAGTCTATAATTGGTTATGAACTCCTTATTTCATCCTTGTTTCGGGATTACTACTTTATGAGCATGCTTCCAGGTATTGGGAATCTTCCCGTCTTCTAGTATTCTATTTAAGAGTATCATCATAGGTGATAATAGTGATTCCTCTAATTTTTTGAATGTGTTGTGGTAAGACCGTCCGGGCCCAGGGATTTTCTTAATTTCATCTTACTTATCGCTTGATATAGCTCTGTCATGGTTATTGGGGAGTTTAGGTCTTGGAGCTTTTCTTTCTTAATTTTAGGTATTTCCTTTCCACATAAATACTCTTTTATTTCATTCTCTGTCTCAGTTCCTACTTTATATAGCCTGTTATAATATTTTATAAAGCATTTTTTAACTTCCTCGGGGTTATCTAAAGTTCTCCCTTCTTCCACTATTTTATCAATTAGTTTTTCCTTTTGTCTCTTTTTTAATTGCCAGGCTAGCATCTTTCTGGGTTTATTTGCAAATTCAAACGACCTTTGTTTCATCCATTTTATATTATCCCCGATTTCACTATTTAATATTGCTGATGCCTGAGTTTTTGGCCTACTAATTCATTTTTTGGTTGTTTTGTTAATAATTTTTCATTTATACCTATTTCTTTCCTTATTTGTTCTAGTTTTTGCTCTCTATTTCTTTTCCTTAATGCACTTTGTTGTATGTAAAAGCCTCTTATGAAAGCTTTACTTGCATCCCATATTGTTCCGTATCTTGTTCTTTATTTAATTAAAAAAATTCTTTCATTAATTCTTGCGCTTTTTTCACAGTCTTTTCATCGTTTAATATTCTTTCATTAGGTCTCCATCTTTTATTAATTTTCTTATGTTCCTTTAATTCTAAAGTGCTGGGTTATGGTCTATAATAATTTTGGTCTGTATTTCTGCTTTTTAAATTTTTGTTGTTAAGTTATTTGTTAGCCATATTCCATCAATTCTGCCGGCTGATTTTTTTACTTCCGAGTAATGTGTATACTGTCTTTCTCCTGGGTTTTTATATCTCCATGCGTCAATCAAATTTAGGGTTAGGGTTAGGGTTTTCTACAATCTGAAAGAAGGTGTCTGGGAGTCTACCTTTTTTATTTTCTTTCTCTTTCTGTCCTATCTAGTTCTATTGATGTAACGTCATTTAGGTCTCCCATCAAAATAATTTCCTCTTCTATAAATTCCAGTAAATTAGCTTCTACTTTTCTGAAAAATTCTGTTTTGTTACCATTTGGTGCGTAAATTCCTACTATAATTAAATGTTCTTTACCATTTGTTATTTTTCATCCTTAAAGATTTTTTTTTGCGTCTAGTTTAGGGTTTACATAGATCACAATTCCCCTTTTCTTTTTTACATCTGAGGATATAAATTCTTGACCCAATCTCTTGTTTACTAAAACCCTTCTATGATTTCTAGTCACATGGGTCTCCTGCAAGCATATGATATCCCATTGTCCTTTCCTCAATACATATTCTATTCTCTTTCTCTTATTATTTAAACTATTAACATTCCAAGATATAATTTTTAAATTCATTAATCTTTATTTGTTATCTACAATGGTTTCATTGAGTAAATAAAAAGAAAGGAAAACTCAGAAGCTTGTGAATTTTGATATTGTTTTTTCCAGTCTCTTCCCCCCTCTCTTAATACCCACTTTTCTCTCTATACTTCTTGTGGTGTCTGCGTTGTTTCTTCTCGCTCCAACGTTGAATCGCCTGTTAGTTCTTTTTGGTATTTCCTCCAGAATTTTCCTAACTCGTCCACTGATCTAAAAGTTTTTCTTCTGTCCTTGTATGTAAAAGTGATACCCTCCGGAAATTCCCACCGGAATCTAATCGAATTCTTCTTGAGTGCATCTGTTACTGTCTTATAATTCTGCCTTTTTCTCAAAATTCTTTTTGGGATTTCCTTAAATATTTTGATGGGTCTGCCATCTATTATTAACTTCACTTGGCCCTTTTGTTGTAATATGTTGTCCTTTAGAAGTCTTGAATTGAAAAAAAATTAAGCAATCTTCTGGTCCTTTATAAGTGTCCTATCTTTCTGATTTGATCCTGAAAATTTTATCAGTATCCATTAGCATCTCTTCTACTTCTACTCCCAACCAGTCTGCAATCTCGTATGATAATTTCTCTTGAATTTGCTCATCATGAGTTTGTAGGACGCCTCAGAGGTGGAGAACCATCTCCTTCTGACGCATCTCTAACAATGATATGTCGTCAAGTATCTCTTCATGGGCTCTCTTTATGTCGCCTGTTTCGTCCTTCGTTGAGTCTTGTGATTTTTTAATTCATTTTGCAACTTCTTCATCATTTCCTCTTGTTTGGTGGTTTTACTTTTGAGTTCTTGTACAGATTTGTCAAGTTCTTTATTTTTAAGTGAGAGGTCACTTATTTGTGTTGTAAAGTCTAATATTAGCTTTGAGTTCTGTTGGATGTTGCCAGCTAATATGTCCAGCTTATCATTCAAGCTCTTTTCCACCCCCATTATAAGATCTTTTATGTCAGCATTGGGGTCCGTTTCAGCTGTTGATTGTCTTCTCACTTGTAGTCCTGACCCAGTTGTCAGTGTAGTTTGGTATTTTTTAGAGCCCATATTCATCTTCTTCCTTTTGGTTCTGATTTCAATATCTTTACTTCAGCCAAATAGTATTATATTTCTAAACTTTGAGGATGTTCTGTTTATATTTTATATTTCTGTCCTTTTATTTCATCTGTTGGGATTGAAAGTCTGTTAAGATTCCGTGGTTTTTTACTATGTCGTTACCAGTTCATCTCAAATGCTTAATGTTTTAGTCAGAATTTTTATATAAATTTAATTGAATATTTTATTTTATTTTATTTTGGCAATTGTAAAAAAAAAAACGCTTTCGCAGTTCTTAAAATCTGTCTTAAGAACTTATTTTCTAGAAGCTAAGCTTGCTGTTTCAGATGTCCTTTCGTATATAGCTAGTTATCTTTATGATTGTATTTCAAATCTGTGTCTTTGCAGCATTTTTTAAATTGTGGGAGTAATTTTATTTTCCACCACTAGATGGCACAATTTTCCAGTTTGCTTGTGAGGTGGTCCTTCTTATTTTCTTCCTCTAGCCTCTCTTTGTTGCAGTGACTGTTTCCGCCACTATTCTTCTTCGGTCTTTTTTCCCTTCTGAGGGCAGTGACTCATACTCCCCTCCAGCGCCATTTTCACCATCTGCTTTCTTTCCTATTCTCGTCTTTTCCCTCCTTTTTTCTCTTCCTTCATATATCTCTTCTTCTTCCCTTTCACTTCTTTATCTTCCCACCGCTCCCTGGTCTTCAAATCTTTTCTACTTATTCTTTTCCCCACTGTATCCTCCACGTTCCTCCCCCTCCTTTTTTTTCACTCACCACTCTGTTTTACGCTGATCTCCTTCTCAATGGCCGCTGCTTTGTTGTCACCGCTGTTGCTGCTGCTTGCTGTTTCAGCTCTGTCTCTCTCAACAGTGCATCCTCCAGTAGAAGCAGGTATTCGGTATGTCTCAGTTTTTATTTTCTGCCTCTTTACAGGGCTTATTTTCCACAACTTGTTAAGTCTCAGAACGCTGAAGCGCCTCTCAGTTTGCTTTACTGTCCTTTATAATCTTAAATTAGTCCATACTCCTTTTATTTTAAACCAACGTTATTAATTTCCTTCTTCAGGAGTACTCTTGATTTTACAGTTTTAGTTTGGAGCAGCCTGGTGCTTTCTCATTCGGGTCTAAGGAGCATCTGACGGTCGGGTATGCGATCTTTCTGCGCTGAGGTTCTTCCACCTTCCTCCACTTTTTTGTGCCAGAACGGCAGAAAATCCCTTTATGCGCTGCTTGGACCTATTTTCTTCAGTCTGGAACCTCCTCTCAGACCTCTTCAGGGTTCGTGTCACCCTCACTTCCCCATCCTTTTAGCCCGTACCCATGACTGGGAGCGCTCTTACTGCAACAGAGCGTTTTCCCCGACCCGTCTCTGAGTGCACCACGCCAGGAAGTCGTGATTGAAGTTAGCTTTTCCAGTTCTAAATATTCATTTAATTTGAAAAGCCACTCCTCTTTTGAGGGCAAGAATTGAAATTTCCATTTAGAAATAATCACTACCCTGGCTGCCGTAGTTGCATATAGAAAAAATATTTTTCTCACTTGTGGTATATCTTTCCCTATCAAGCCTAGGAGATATGCATCTGGTTTTTTAACAACTGGGATTTTCAACCTTTTCTTTAATTCCTGATGTATTATTTCCCAAAATTTCTTAATCTCCTCACAAACCCACTACATGTGTATTGTTGTTCCTGCTTCTTTGCCACATTTCCAACAGAGGATGGATTTCAATTTATAGATTTTGGCCAGCTTAACTGGTGTTAAATACCACCTGTGAAACATTTTAACAAAATTTTCTTTAATTGTATAAGAGGCAGTAAATCTTATATCCTCTCGCCAGAATTTCTCCCATTGCTCTAAGTATATCGTATGTCCGACACCTTTAGCCCATTTGATCATAGTTTCTTTCACTTCTTCATCCATCAGTTCCCAATCAAGTAAAAGATTATATGTTTTAGACAATATTTTCTTATTATTTTGTAATATTGTGGTGCTCAATTTAGAATTCTCTTTCACAAAACCTTTTTTTAGATCTGATTAAATACACTTCTTAGCTGCAGGTATTGCCATCTATCTGACACATATTGTTGTATCTCCTCATAGGGTTTTAGTCTGAGTTTTCCTTGATCTTCCTCCAGTAGTAGTCTATATGATGCCCGGTTTGTTCTCATATTAAGTTTTTTCATGGCATGCACCTCCAGCGGCGAAAGCCACCAGGGGGTCTGTGGTTCCAGTTGCAATTTATATTTGTTCCAGACTTTATATAATGCATTCCTGAGTAAATGATTTGTAAAATCTTTATTGACTTTTGCCTTCTCGTAATTGAGATAGGCATGCCATCCATATCTGTTAAAACTTTTAAGATCTAAGATGTTAGCTTTCTCCAGTATAATCCAATCTTTTACCCATATTAAACATTCTGCCTCGTAGTATAATTTTAAATTTGGCAGTGCTAGCCCTCCCCTCTCTATTTTATTTGTCAAAAGCTTATATTTTATCTGAGGTTTCTTGCCTTGCTAAATGAATCTCGTTATATCTTTCCTCCATTCTTTACCCTATTCATCTTAAAATCGGACACCTTACCAAAATGATTTATTATCTCTATTGCTTTAGCAATGCTTGTTTCTGTTCTTCCATTGTTAAAATAATGTCATCCACGAAGGTTCTGATTTTAAAAACCTCTTTACCTACTGTAATTCCTTTGATCTCTTTATCTTCTCTTATTTCTGAAATCAAAATCTCTAATGTCAGTATAAAAAGCAGAGGTGAGAGAGGGCACCCTTGTCTGGTGCCCCTTTCCACTGAAAAACATTCGGTCTTGACACTGTTAATTATTAAACTAGCTTGCTGCTTCTCATATATTGCTTTTATACCTGTGCAGTAGTATTCCCCCAATGGTGCTGTTTCCAGTACTCTCTGTAGAAATGCACTTGATAAATTATTGAAAGCCTTCTCAGCGTCTATTAACATAAACGCTGCTCTTTTGCTTGGCCTTAGCTCCAAATATTCCAATAAATCAATTACCACTCTCGTATTTGTTTTTATATGTCAGTTTGGGAGAAATCCCGGTTGATGTTGGTTTATGATATCCTGTAACACAATTGTCAATCTGCTTGCTAGGATACCTGCAAACAGTTTATAATCATGAAATGGGTCTGTAATTGGTTACTGATTCTCTCTCTGTACCTTGTTTGTGGATTAGCGTGATGTTTGCTTCCTGCCATGACTTTGGGATCTTGCCTTCTCGCAGAATATTGTTCATTAAGGTTTTTAGCGGTAGTATAATAACATCCTCTAACTTTTTGTAATGAATCGCAGGTAGTCTGTCTGGGCCTGGGGCTTTTCCAAGTTTCAGATTAGTGATTACTTGATGAAGTTCCATTATTGAAATTGGTGCATTTAGTTGTTCCATTTGATTTTCATTTATTTTTGGTTTTGGTTTCCCCTTTAAATAATTTATTATTTCTTGTTCCGTTTCTATATAATTTGGTAAAGTAATTTATGAAGCATTTATTTATCCTTTCTTCCGTATCTAATGTCTTTCCTTCATGGATTACTTTATTTATTTGCCTTTCTCTTTGTTTTTTCTTTATCTGTCATGCAAGAAGCTTACCTGGTCTATTACCTAATTCAAATGACTTTTGTTTCATCCATTTAATGTTCTCCATCTCATTGCTTAATAATGTTGAGAGCTGTGCTTGCAATATTTTGATATAAAGTCACATCTTTTGGTGATTTTGCCAATAATTTCTCTTGTGCTATATCTTGTTGAATTTGGTTTACCTTGGATTTTCTCATTCTTTTTTGTATCATATTTTGCTGTATATAAAAACCTCTTATAAAAGCCTTTCCAGTGTCCCGTATTATTCTTAGGTCCATGTCTTGTGCCATGTTTATTTCGAAAAATTCTTCCAATGATTTTTGGGATTTTTCTACGATTTTCTCATCATTTAACAGTCATTCATTCTCCTACTTTTATCTTTCTTTTTATTTTGTCTCATTTCCAGCATTACTGGATTATGGTCTGATAGTGATTTAGGTAATATCTTCTTTGTTTATTAGCGGGATGAGATTATTGGAAGCCCATATTGCATCTATTCGGCTTGCTGAGTTGTTTGCATCTGAATAAAATGTGTACTGTTTTTCCTTATTTACAAGAGTTGTTATTTGATATTTTTTTTTTAAGTCAAGTTAGGCCAACTCTGGCTTTAAGTGGCAATCTCCTCAATGAAGGAGGAGGCTTCTTGCGTTGTCAGTAAGATACTAACAGGAAAAGGTGCTCCATGCATGACTTTGCAATCCACAGCTGCAAAAATGCAAGGAAACTTTCATGGCTCATTCAGCCACCTTGCGTTTTTCAGACAGGAAGAAAAATAAGCACCTATGTGGAATATGGAGACCCTCGCACCCAGCAATGGGGGAATAAAACACTCTTGCTCTTCCTGGCAGGTTAGTATGCTCTAGAGCTGGACGGAGTCCACCTGGTGAAAAGTAAGGTGCAAGCTGGATTGCCACTCCAGAGTTGGATTGCTTATCTCTCGACCCTGGACTCTTGGGGCCACTGACTAGTGCAACTTTAAAAGTTTCAAGATGCCCCTGCACAGTACAGAAGTACCAAGAAAAGAATTCTGTAGTAGAAGCAAGTGCTTAGGTCTACAAAGGTGGGAGGGAGGAAGCACACAGCTCTGAGTTGTGAAGAATCAGGCATAACATTGTTCTGTGATTCAAATGCTTCTAATGATGCAAAAAATGGCTAGAATATACATTTGGCTTATATCCTGCAGTTTAACACTGTCCACATGTGGGACAAATATTCCCAAATATGGCCTCAAGCATTCTACAAACTCCAAATATATCAATTCTTATTAATAACAATGATTATGATAATATTTGTTAGTTGCTTGTTGCACATAAACATCTTGCAACATATTTAAAAATGTAAGCATAAGTAAAAATACACTACGGAAAAAACAGTCACAAAAAGCGCATGCGATTTATACAAATACTCAAGCCACCCTCCAGAAAAGCAGCAGAAAGCTTTTAATTGTCTTTTATTTTAAAATGAATATATGCACATGATAATATTCACTCCAGAGTTTGATCTTATGCATTGTTGGGAATGATTATGCCCATTTATTTAAACTGATTTAGGATGCCTAATTCTGCATAAGATCAGACTGTAAAATAATTACCGTAGGTGCTGTCAGTGCTCAAATTATTATTTCCTGCAACAGAGAGATATGGGAGTTAGGTCCATACTTGTGACACCACCAGAGAAGGGCCTCTCCCTGTAGCCACCCTTCTTGACATAGGGTAGGCATGCCAGCAGAGTATCCAAAGCAGATCCTAAAGTATAGAGTAGTACAGGTGTAGGTGTTCTTTTTTTAGTACTCTATGCACTTTTTTGTACCCAGATCTGCCAACTGTTGGCAGGCATGATACCGAGCTGCTTGGTGTGCTGATTTACCTGAAAACACTTTTTATGGCAAGAGCAAAATAGCACAAAGACCTTTTATAAAGTCAAAAGTACAACAAAGAATTCTGGATAACTCCAAGGCTTGCCACAATTTTGTGACATTCTGGTTGCTCCTAATACAGGTTATTTACCTAACTGTGCATTTTGGAGGCTTTTTAAAAAAATGAACCCTAACCCTAACCCTAACCCTTTTTTAATGTGCCGTGCCCCTCATGTGCAATGATAAACTCTGCCAGTGGAATTTCCACCCGTTCTGCTGTAGTTAAAAGGCAAAGAAGCCTGACCGGCGGGGTGGGAGCTGTTGGGGGAAGAGGTGGCAGCGGAACACCAGAAAAGGAGGTGCATGTACACGCACTTCTTGACCTCAGGATCGTGGGATTTGGGGGGGTGAAAGACTCCTAGCACTGCAAGTGGGTTGGACTAGGTGACCCTCACGGTCCCTTTCCCACTCAACCATCCCACGACCTCCCACCAAGGCCCATTTGGGGATGCCTGGCCTCTCTCCCTTCCCACTTCCCCTGAAACCACACAGCCTGCCGACTCAGCTGGCAGGGGAAAGCGAGCCGAGGCAGCCGCTGGGAGGAGACGTGCAGTGGTGGTGGTGGCGGCTGCCGGGTGAGCTTCTCCGCCACCTTGTGATGTGACCATGGGGCGCCACGGGCCTGGCCCAGCAGCTGCAGGAGGCCGTGGCCCCCCATCATGCCCAGGGCATGGGAGACGCTTCTCCCCGGCTTGCAGGGCCTCCGATAGAGGAGCCCGTACGAGGAGGCCCTCCCTCGCCCCCTTCCTCCTCCTGCTGCTGTGCTTGTGAGGGACCCAGCTTGGCCCCATGGCCACCAAGGCGGAGCACCCTCCCCCGCCTTCGTTGCCTGCATTTGACTGGTTCCGCTTGCTCGTTGCAGGAGCTCAACAAAGAACAATCCTCAATTTGGCAGGCAGGGACAGCGGTTGTAAGCCAATTTTGCACCCCCCCTCGCCTGCGCCCCTGGCAGGGGCCCACCTCACTGCTCCCTAGCTACAGCTCTGACCATGGGCTACACACGGTCACATGCCCCCTCTGTCCTCCACCCAGGGAAACCAGAGGCATTGTCATGCATACTTAGTTAGGTTGTTTGTTGCCTTTTCACAGTTTAAAGTCCAGGGGTCAGCAAACTTTTTCAGCAGGGGGCCGGTCCACTGTCCCTCAGATCTTGTGGGGGTAGGCAAACTAAGGCCCAGGGGCCGGATCCAGCCCAATCGCCTTCTAAATTCAGCCCACTGACACTCAGGGAATCAGCGTGTTTTTACATGAGTAGAATGCGTCCTTTTATTTAAAATGCATCTTTGGGTTATTTGTGGGGCATAGGAATTCAGTCAACCCCCCCAAAAAATAGTCCGGCCCCCCCACAAGGTATGAGGGACAGTGGACCGGCCCCCTGCTGAAAAAGTTTGCTGACCCCTGGTTTAAACCATGTGCAAGGCAGCTAACAACATGGAAAAGAAGGCACAACTGCAACAGAGCAAATTGTCCAAGTTCAAAGGCACATTTCAACCAGGCAAAGATATGCAAGGAAGGTGCAAAGCTGGCGGCGGGGGGGGGGGGACACGGCCCGGGAGGGCCAGATTAGAAAGCCTGGGGGCACACCTCAACTCCAGGCCTGACTTAGAGAGATGCTCAGCAACACAGAAAGGGAAAGCCATCAAAAGAACTTAGCAAGAGAATTGAATGGTGTCACTGAGGACTCAGCTAGATTGGTAAAGAAAAAGCAATTTATAAGCATTGTAAATGTGATATAACATTGTGCCACCAGATGGCGATGTGGAGTCCCAGTTTTCCCTACCAGATTTCCCTGTTAAAATTTACATGTTTAACTGAAATGTTTCTTTGATGTGTCTAGATCCAGCCAAAGTGCATTAGAGCTGGGTCTACTGAGAAAAGATAAAATACGCGAATGGATCTGATATGGGATACCAACTGGAGGGAGGGAAGTCACAAGCTCAGTGGAGCTAAAATAGTTTTTTGTTGACTAATGCATTGTAAGAAAGAATGTGTAAAGAAAATAATAAAAAATCATTGGGGGGGGGGAAATAGAGCTGTGTCTATTGGGGCATATTGTCTTTTTGTAAACACAAGGTAGGTGTGCAGAGGAACAATTGGCAACAGTTTTGGGGCATCTCTTCAAGAAAATGGCCTCCAGTTTTCCATAAAAGATGCTCTTAAGTCTTGACCATGTGTAAAAACATGGGGCCCACTTTCCACCCACTTCCACAAACATGATGATGAGCAAATGCATTCTCTTTCGTACATAGCATCTTCCTTTAGGTGTCCATTGCCAAACAGGACACAACCCCCCCTGAATTGCAACGAACCCTTACAAACACTTGCAGAACGGTTGGCCCATAAATCACTATTCCAGAAAGGGAAAGGAAGATGTCACTGTCAGCTAAGAAAGTCATAAATCATAACTAGGCTGAGTTTTGAAGTGAACCAGAAGACAAAATGCTGCGTCAAACAAATCAGATAAACAAACTGAGTTGCTATGAACAGCCAATGGCGTGAAAGCCACCTTCTCCATCCAGGTGGCCTCTGGATCTTCTGGGTTGCCACCTGCACCAGCCCAGTCAGCCTGGCCACACTGGGTGGGACTGAGGGAAGCTGCAGTCCAAAATGTGGAGAAATGAGGATAAGACTGGAAAATGAGGAATGAGGAGAAACTGAAATTAGCAGATTTGCCCAGTCTGAGATGCACTTTTCCAACCAAACAAATGGGGGGGGGGGGATAACTTGTTAGGGAAAAGTGTGGATAAAAATGCAAATAATAGTGAAGATAACGATGCCTTATGAGGAACGGCTAAGGGAGCTGGGCATGTTTAGCCTGGAGAAGAGGAGGTTAAGGGGTGATATGATAGCCATGTTCAAATATATAAAAGGATGTCACATAGAGGAGGGAGAAAGGTTGTTTTCTGCTGCTCCAGAGAAGCGGACACGGAGCAATGGATCCAAACTACAAGAAAGAAGATTCCACCTAAACATTAGGAAGAACTTCCTGACAGTAAGAGCTGTTCGACAGTGGAATTTGCTGCCAAGGAGTGTGGTGGAGTCTCCTTCTTTGGAGGTCTTTAAGCAGAGGCTTGACAACCATATGTCAGGAGTGCTCTGATGGTGTTTCCTGCTTGGCAGGGGGTTGGACTCGATGGCCCTTGTGGTCTCTTCCAACTCTATGATTCTATTCTATGATTCTACATACAAAATGCATAACGTTAGGGAAATGTTTCTGTAAAAATGTGAATACTGTATTGGTCCAGACTGCAAAAAGATGTTTATTATGAGAAAATGCTAGTGATTTTCCCTGAGGATTTAAAACTTAATAATTGGTAAATTGCTGCAGAAA